CCGGACCCCTTGGTACCCCACGCAGACGCGAACTCCCACCCCGAGTACTGGGGCCACGCCCGTGTGCCGGCGCGCGGGTGACCGGCGGTAGGGGAGAATCCACCTGGGCGGGGAGGTGGGGGCAAAGGTGACCCCAGACCTGGCTCCCAACTGCGGGCCGGGGAGAGGAACTGTCCCGAGACCACCCTCTCCACCCCCCACAGCCCTTCCGCCCTCACCTGCTCCCGGGACAGCCAGCTCCCAGCGCCGGGCCCGCCCGGTCCCCGCCCCGCCGCCACGTGGCTGCCCCGGCTCGGCTGCACGGGTCCCAGCTGTCCTGTCCCGGCGGGGGCACCACTGCCACGCCAGCACCGGGAGTCTCGGGCCCAGGTGGAGAGGCGGCGGTGCGGAGGCTTTCCCTCCGCAAGGGTCGGGCCTTCGCGCCTAACTGGACAAGGACTTTCACCTGGGCAGGGGCAGGGCTGGGAGAAAACAGGGAGTAGGGGCCGCAAGCCCACAGGCTCAACGTGACCAGCCACTGCCGCTCCCCCCTCGACAGTGCCACCAGCGGAGGTGCCCAGCCCCGGGACCAGGGGGCTAGGGACAGGAGCCTACCCTGTGCGGCTCTGAGGAATGGCTGTGAGCACTGCACGCAGGACTGAGAAAGCCCGGGGTAAGCCCGGAGTGCAGGGAAACCCGCAACACCCTGGGCAGGTGCCGAGAAGCGTCTGGACAAGCTGACCGAGACCCCGGTACCGGGGGTCTCCATGTGCGCCTGGCTGCGTGATCAGGTGACCCCAGACTCTGAGGGCGTGGAAGTGCTTTTGCCAGGAAAGTGCTCTGGGCATGCTGTATAGGGGTGAATTACCCTCACCACCTTCAGCGAGACCCAGAACTGCCTTTCCTAGGGGTGAAGTAAGGTTTCCAGGGCCTCATGTTGCAGGAAAAAAAAAAAAACCTAAATTAACATACAGAGAGATTAAATTATCTCCATTCCCAATCTGGCATATTTCCTAAACCTTAAATAACTTGTGAGGCTTCCATGTGGGCTTCTGAGAAACAGGAGGGCAGCTGGGAGAACTTCCCACGCCCACAAGCCTTTGTGTGAAAATCCCTAAAAATAGAGGTTGTTCTTTTAAAAACAAAAGGGAAGGCTAAGCCATGGGAACACTGACAGAACCTAACCTCTCGCTTCTGCTCCAGCAAAGACGTGTGTGAAGATATAGAACATCAAATTTGCCATTTTTACCATTTTAAGTGTACAGTTCAGTGGCATTAATCACACTCACAATATTGTCCAGCCATCACCGCTATTTCCAAAACGTTCATCGTCCCCAGTAACAACTCTGTACCCACTAAGCACTAACTCCCGTTTCGCCTACCCTCAGAGATAACTCCCTTCATCTACTTCCCGTCTCTATGGATTTACCTATTTTGTATATTTCATGTAAGTAGAATCATACAATACTTGTCCTTTTGTGTCTGGCTTACTTCACTCAGCATAATGTCCTCCAGGTTCATCCATGTTGTAGCATGTGTCAGAATTTCATGTCCAGCAAAGAAGTTTTTAATAACCCATCTCTGCCAGAAAAAAAGACCCCCCAAAAATTACAGATTAGCCATCTGTGAACAAAGGATGAAGAGGTGGACAGGCTGACACAGTCATATTACTGGAATCCATTATGCAGTCACCCCTTGGCATCTGCAGGGGATTAGTTGCAGGCTCCCCGACCAATACCAAAATCCATAGATGCTTAAGTCCCTGATATAAAATGATGTAGTATTTGCATTTAACCTACACACATCCTCCCACATACTTTAAGTCATCTCCAGATTACTTACAATACCTAATTCAAGGCCAGGCACAGTAGCTCACATCTGTAATCCCAGCACTTTGGGAGACCAAGGTAAGAGGATTGCATGAGCCCAGGAATTGGAGACCAGCTTGGGCAACATAGTGAGAGCCTATTCTTTTCCCCACAGAAGAAATTTTAAAAATTAGCTGGGCATGGTGGTGCATACCTGTAGTCCCAGTTACTTGGGAGGCTGAGGTGGTAGGATTGCCTGAGCCCAGGATGTTGAGTCTTTAGTGAGCCATGATCATACCACTACATTACGCCTGAGTGACAGAGTGAGATCCTGTCTTAAAAAAAACCAATCAAACCAAAAAAAACCTATGTAAATCGTTGTTATACTGTATTGTTTAGGGAATAATGACAAGAAGAAAAGTTTGTACATGCTCAGTATAGATGCAACCATGCTTTTTTTTTTTTTTAACCAAATATTTTTGACCTGCCATTGGTCAAATCCACAGATATGAAGGGCTGACTGTATTTCCATGATCCATCAGTATGACCAGCAGAGTCATTTTTCTTATTCATTTTTGGTGGGTCACACATCACACTTTTTTTTTTTTTTTTTGCCTCAAGCTGGTTTCCTCTTGGCTGTCACCTTCCGATGAGCCTCCCTCTAAGTGTCAACATGAATTTTGAAGAATCTACATTCAATTCCATATCAGCCTGAGTTAAAAACATTAGAAAAGGAAATCTACCTCTTGCTTTATAACCACCTACTTCCTGTCACTCGTCATTTTCTAAATAAATGAGAAGTCCCCTTCAAAGTTTATAAGCATCTTCTAAACCCAGGAACAAATATATTTGTTTCTTTTCTTCGTGTTAAGGCTAGAGAAACCTGCCCTTTGCAAAGAAAAAATATATATATCCTGCTTAATGTAGATTTTTCTTATAACAATGACACTAACCTTAAAAAAAAAATACTCGTGTTGAAAAATAGTATCCTGGCTGGGCAAGGTGGCTGGCACCTGTAATCCCAACACCTAGGGAGGCTGAGGCAGGTGGATCATCTGAGGTCAGGAGTTTGAGACCAGCCTGGCCAACATGGTGAAAACCTATCTCTACTAAAAATACAAAATTTAGCCAGGTGTGCTGGTAGGCACCTGTAATTCCAGCTACTCGGGAGGCTGAGACAGGATAATCGCTTGAACCCAGGAGGTAGAGGTTGCAGTGAGCTGAGATCGTGCCACCACACTCCAGCCTGGGCGACAGAGTAAGACTCTGTCTCAAAAAAAAAAAAAAAAAAAAAAAAAAAAAAATTTATGGTTTTTTTATGTGCTAACATGGAACTCTGTTCATTACATAATAATGAATAAATATAGCAAGTTGAAGAATAATGTATAGTGTTTTTTAAAAAGTAGTGTGTACATATGTATATAGTACATATATATACACAATATATGTATACAGTATATATATAGTCTCTTATACACATCTAGATGTGTATAAGAGACAGATCCTGCATATCCTTTAAACATTGCCATTTTTAAGATACTGCCCTACGTGAACTAGTAAAAGCACGTTTGTTGCATCATTAATTTGTAATACTTTAAACAATGAGAACAACCTAAATGTCCATCAACAGAAGACTGCTTAGATAAGTTATGGTACAGCCATACTATGACAGCTGGCATTAGAAATAATTAGGTGTTTTGGGGCTGGGTGCAGTGGCTCACACCTACAATCCTAGCACTTTGAGAGGCTGAGGCCGGGGAATCACCTGAGATCAGGAGTTTGAGATCAGCCTGGCTAACATTTCTTTTTTTTTTTTTTTTTGAGACGGAGCCTCACCCTGTCGCCCTGGCTGGAGTGCAATGGCATGATCTCGGCTCACTGCAACCTCCACCTCCGGGGTTCCAACAATTCTCCTGCTTCAGCCTCCTGAGTAGCTGGGATTACAGGCGCCCACCACCGTGCCCAGCTAATTTTTGTATCTTTAGTAGAGATGGGGTTTCACCATATTGCCCAGGCTGGTCTCGAACTCCTGACTTCGTGATCCGCTCCCCCCCCACTCCCCGGCCCTTTAACCTCCCAAACTGCTGGGATTACAGGCGTGAGCCACTGTGCCCGGCCACCTGGCTAACATTTCTAATAAAAATACAAAAAACAAAAACCCCATTTCTTTTTTTTTTCTTTTTTTTTTTTTCTTTTTT